TATTTGACCCTGATGATGACACAGCTACAGAAGAAAGGAGGCATCTATTTCTCTGCAGAGAGCCTCAAACAGCTCACTTGCTTTCCTAACACCCAACCCATTCCCCTGCCTCAGTTCAAAGCAAGACCCAGGTGGCCTGAAAGCCACTTACGCAGCTTGGTTGGACCTGACCTTCCCCATCCACTCAGCAGAACCACCCAGGTCGCATGACATCTTGCCCTTGCCCTCAGTGATTGCTGCCTCATGACTGCAGCCCAACAGGACAGAAAATGAAAAACATACACGTTCAAAAAGCCTGAGCACCTGGCATCAGAAGTGCTTTAACTGCAGTCGCGCCCACAGTAAAAATTATAGTCCTATAAATTACACGAGGAACAATAATTTGATCAAAGTCTTTTTAACGTTTCCGACCAAGCAAGTTATAGGTTGTAAAGGTCATCATAAAGCACTGGAGAAGTTAAAGTATGTATGACCTCAAGAATTTTCTGATGGCTTCTTATGAGCTGTAACTTGTAACTCACATACACCAGAAGCAACTAGCAGTTGCAGAAGTTCCCGCATACAAATCGGGAAAATTACCTACAGAACAACACAGACATGAGCAGATGCAGCTGCAAATTAGAGGCTATGAAGGGAAGGGAAGGGGTAGCCGTGCTCTGCACGTCTTTTAACTTGTAGTGCATGCATTGGGCAAGGATAACAGCAAACAGAGGTTCCCTGTTCATCAGTAAAACTCCTTTCTCCTCGCCTCCAGCATCCCTGCACGACAGGAAGCAGTAATCATACAACATTTGCAAGACTTGTAATATCTTATCAATTCTGAAGTCCAATTTGCACTAATCAGCGCATATCACAAGTGCAAATGTTAACCCAGAGGAGCATCTAAATGACTGGGGCAACCAGCTGAAACTGAATCATTGCAAAGTTCACTTGTAGCCATATGACCAAATCGCCACCCTCTCCCATTCTTCCTCCTGCTTACTTCCCTCCCTTGAACAACTGTAACGGGATGATGTGTTTTGAATTCTAGTTCATCACCTTTGTCACAAGCTCCTGGGAGCAGGCCAGTGTGGGCATGCAACTTCCCTCAGCAACTGGGCAGCTGGTTCCTGTTCTCATCCAAGATCTCACAGTCCCCTTCCCTTCAGAGATGCCAGGCCACTAACGCCGCCATGCCTGCCGCTCAGCACCGGGCACAGAGCCACCGGGGAAGGTCTGCCTTCACACGGGGCCTTACTTTCTTCTACTGAGGTTTTCCAGTTTCTTTTAAACCAGCTCATAGTCCAGGCCAAACGTCAACCTAAGATACCACACAAAGAACTGGTAGGGCAGTACATTACATAGCTAAACTTCTTAAGTTACAGGAAATATGTTTAGTGGATCCTCATTTATTTTTCCTTTGCATCTAACTGATCATCAGCACCAAATATGAAGGGCCAGTATTTCCCAGGAGCGTCAGCAAACTGACGTCATTTCAGTGGCTCTGTACGCAGGATATAAAACGGAAAGGAGTAAAGTTCAGTTTTAATTGTGCAGCTGATAGTGTGAAGTAAACAGGTGCTTTCTTCTAAAGATTTTTAAACAGATTTTTCATCTTTTGAAATGGCTTACCGTGAGTCAAATTTTGCTTTCAGTTATATGGGTATAAATCCGGATTAATTCTGATAACCTCAAGGCATCACGCTTTCTTCTTCACTGAAACTCTGAGATTGTGCAACAGAGGAAATGGAGTAACTCTGGACTTTGACCAGGGCCAGTGAAACTAGTGCTTTGACTGTGTGAACTGCCTTTTCTCCTACAAGCTAGTAATGTAATTAATCAATTATTACACAGAAAAATCCCAAACTTTTCAACAGGATCCAGAAAAAGCAACAGTCTAAAGCTGGTGTTTTCCAAAGCATACACTGAACTGTTGATTTTAAACCAGTAAAACTTCCTAACAGCCCACAGTTTCAGACTGAAGCAAAACTTCACAGCAAAGTAAAACCAGAGATTTATAATGCATATGTTAACCAGTCTTAACTGCAGCAGCACCTTATAGTGTCATTTGCTTCCCTGTGATAACAAGTTCTCCTCAAATACCTTCTTTTTCTTTTCCATAAACCCAAATAAAGAATTAATGATAGAACAAGGGGAAATGGCTTTAAGCTGGAAGAGGGTAGGTATAGATTAGATATTAGGAAGAAATTCTTCACTGTGAGGGTGGTCAGACACTGGAACAGGTTGCCCAGAGAAGCTGTGGATGCCCCCTCCCTGGAAGTGTTCAAGGCCAGGCTGGATGAGGCTTTGAGCAACCTGGTCTAGTGGAAGGTGTCCCTGCTGATGGCAGGGGGGGTGGAACTGGATGATCTTTAAGGTCTCTTCCAACCCAAACCATTCTATGATTCTATGATGATTCTGTGAATTAAAACTATAGCATTAATTGCAAACACCTCGATAAAGGAAATTTATGGAAAACAGAAAGACTGTCCTAGAGGCCTGTTTGTCACAGGTTCTGATTCTTCTGATATTTTTGCTCTCTGGCACTTTTGAAGATGCACTGTGTTTCACAGATGGGATGACTTTTTCTTACTTATCAATCTTGCATAATAAAACACTTAATACAGAAAAAATATTTTCTCAGGGTTGCTGGGTCATTGATGGCTTGATTTTGAAGAAACACTCCTGGCGAGCTACACCTGAAAATAAAGTAGTCTGGGAAACATTCAGTGACTTATTACCAGATCTGAGCAGCTTGCTGGTGAAAAACTGTAGTGCCTGGAATCACCTATTTTAACATGGCTTTTAAATGCTGACCATGCCAGTGAATACACAATTAAAATGAACGGTAAGGAGTGTTTTGTTTCCTGATTTCATTTGGAAATGAGGTGCATTGCCAGTCCCTCTCATAACATTTGAATCTGTCAGTCAGCTCCCAGCAAACTTAACAGAGGGAGAAGACTTCTCAAAAATAAGGTCTGTCAAGCTCCATGACCACCTAGTGTAACAGCAGAAAAGACCCAAATTAAAACCTTCATGAGGGCAAAGCTGGCACAGTGGCATACACCCTGCTTGGCAGCACCTAACCAGCCCATCACCACAGCTTACTAACCTGCCACGAGCACCCATGTCACCCTCAGTTCATGCACTTCATGCTGCCTCTTGGGGGAACCCTTTCAAGTTTCAGGGGGAAGGGCTTGGAAGGACAGGGAAATTTTCAGGAAACACCTCAAATCCACAGGACATGAGGCTTCACTGCCTCTTCTGCTCACAGAACTACTTTTTTCTTTTTCTGTTATTTATCGGTTTCCAAAAGTTTGATGAAAGACCTTCAAGAGCAGATATACATTAAATGGAAAGTGGATGTCCCTTAGTGTTTCTTAAAATTGAACACTTTCATGAGTTGATATTCCAGGAAATTATTGATTATCATTTTGATCCCTTTAGGATTACACTCTAGGAGGTTTAACTAGGATAGCAAGATAAGAAAACAAATCCAAAGCATGCTTTAAAGAAGATTTAAAGCCTTCCAAAAATCTGCACTTGGTAAATTCAATGTAGCCTTGAATCAGACACAGCAGAACTCCATGCAACCTTTTCATTTAGGTGAGATCTGTATCTTAATCTTCATTTTAGACAGTCCCAAATCAGACTGCTACCATTTGTAGCATTTGAGCCAATTATTTCAAGTGATTTTAAGCTGATTTATTACATTTCTAACACTGAACATTCATCACTCTGCAGACAGCCTAACTGGAGATGACCTATACTTTAACTTAAAACATTTTACAACTGTCTTCCTCTAAAACTGTCTGCCAATCACAATGTTGAAATCCTATGACATTTACTTTGTGTTTGCTGTACATTTGGATTAGAAGTTCACACTGTATTTTGTTAATACACTGGGTTCATTGCTGGGGTACTGTAAATTTAGTATGGAAAAAGTTGCTATCACAGCATTGCATTTGTCATGTGCTATTCCCTTGAATAGCATCACCTAACTGGCTGTGTATCTGTCATCACAGAAATAGATACTATTGTTTTTGAAAAAAATGTGTAAATTCTACCAATACAAAGCACACAAATGTTTGTATTTACCACTGAGGTAAGCAAGCTGGACACAGAAGCTCTAACAAATACCACCGTTGGGAGGGAATGCAATGCTGCTCACAACAGAGCACCAGTTCATTTCAGCCTCTTCAGTGCACAACTAGGTACTACAGACAACACTAACTAATTCCCCTTTTTCAGAGCTTTTGACAAAACAATGGCTCAGTAGTATGCTGGGCTGCCACAGACCGGGTCAACTTGCAGTTTGAGTGAATCAAGGTGAATTTTTGAAGCAGAATCCATTACACACTACAGAATTTAAGTTCTCTTTTATTAGAATAGAAAAAGAGAGGCGAGAAATAACAACAATAAAACTGGAACTTGGGATGCATTCTGACAGAGAAGAATTATGAAAAGCAACAATGTTTTCCTCACAGTACAATAATTTCTAAGGGTGGACCAAAAGAATTACTTACCACTGCAGTAAACTATATATTATCAATGAATGAGATGACTACTCCCTATACTGACCTCTGCTCCCTATATGTGGTAAATAGACAACATAACCTGGAGCGTTTTGGAAACCTATTATCAACAAAATCCTATTCAAAGAAATTAAGTCTGTCCCAGATCACCTAAGATTGTATTTGGGCAGCTAAAACCCAACATGTTTTCCCAAGTGTTATTTTAGTTGGGTTACCTAATTGCCGAAAATTATTTTGTCAGAGGAACTTAGGCAGGGTTCTTTTCAGTCAAGCCCATCTCCAATAACTCTTGCAGCATAAAAATACAGGAAAGACGTAAGCAGTTGAGCTCTTCTATGCTTCATACTCAAGTATTTTAAGATCTTCAAGTAGTTCTTTTGCAAGTGCTTGCAGATCTGCATTGCGGCTCTTTGACAGTGCAATGATACGCTGAAATGGCAGGGTATCACGCATCTCCGAGGCTGACTTGGCCAATACTTCTGGCTCCAGAATCACAGACTGGAGGAGCCGCAGAGCATGAAGACAAACTTCTGTATCCGGGTCTAAAAGTGGGGGAGGAAAAGATCCAGTGCTTATTACAAGCAAGTCCAAAAAAAGTGGCATTAAAGCTGTATCTACATGCCGTTCCTCATGACCCACCAAGCAGACAGGGAGTAACTAAAGTGCCATAATTCACAGTTGTCATTTGGTGCTGGCTCTCTGGCTCTAGAAGGAACCTGGAAACAACACCTTTGCCCTCCTCAGAAGCTTGTGCTCAGCAGTTTTTGGGAGGGAGAGCTAACCAGGAACCCTTCTCTTGTTTTTCAAATGTTGAAAAGTCTATAAATAAGGGAATTTATTAACTTGAATCTATCCAGTCAGTAGCCAACATGTACTGTTGGATGCAACCCGACTGAAGAGCAGAACAAGCTATATCCTATGACTATTCAGACTTAAAAAGTAAACAGACCAACTAATCAAATCTGCAGTAAATCACAAGGCTTTTCTTTAATTTCTTTTTATACAAGCCTTCGTATTTCTTCAAAGCTCAGTAAAATATTAATCTTTATTAAACATTCTGGTAATGATGTATCGACCTTCCAAGTGTTTAATTCAGTCTACACAAAATTGAAATGGGTACTGAAGCTAAGCACTGCTGCTTAAGGATGCATCAGAGAAATGGAACAAAGACCTTTGACTGACTTCAACTAGGAAGACATATAATAACTCTACTGCTAAGAACACAGGATGCATTTTTAATTGCTAAAACATTATGAGCACTGTAAATTAATTGTTCACAACAGTTCATTTGCATTCAGTCATTTATACCTTTATCAAAAGCATCTGGTAGAAACCCCCATTTTTGCACTTCTCTATTCTGCATATTCCAAATTAAAATGTAGAATATATTTTTATGGCTGAAGCAGTTATTTGTTCCAAGTGCTGTGCATTTTTTATGTGTTTGTCATTAGCATACCTAGTCTTCAGCAAGCTTTTGATAAAGCATTGTGCAGAAATGTTGAGAAAAATTAATTAAGATCACTTTGCACACAAAATCACCACAGAGACCAAAGTCTCACTGAAGGAGCATAAATGCAGTGGAGCGCTAAACCACTCTGTACTGAGTGTGAAGGAAGCATTTGGTGGGCTGAGACAAGCTCTTTCCTTTCCTGGTTTATTTAATACCTACACTGATGACCTGAAAAAGGACTAGGGAGAATTATTCATTAAAGTAAAAAGGAAAATGTTGAAAGCACCCAGGGGAGAAAACAGAATATGATGGGCAATGAAGATGATGATGGCTTTAAGCATGAAACTGTCAAGAAGAGAATTTTTAAGTAAATCCCACTAGCACATGGCTGAAGTACAATATTAAAAATTGTGACATTTGATCCACACCCACAAGCCAGGCACTATCTCTCTCTTCCTCCGTTTTCCATTGTAAATGAGATATATAGATCTTTTCTACCTTACCTTCTTCCCTACTTGAAGTGTAAACCTCTTAAGAAAGGAATTCTACTTTCTCCTGGGAAACTAGCAGAGGGGGGTATAATCTGAGGACAGATTAATTGTCCCAAACCAAACAATACGATGCATTTTCTGTGCAACAACAACCTTAGCTATTGGACATACTGGGTAGACATTCAAATCAGCATTTTCAAACACAATGATTAGTGCTGCACACACCACAGGTGTGGCCATACCCATAGCACAGCCACTCCTGTTGCTGCCGGCTGGGCTGAAGGCTCTAAGGAGTCTCTTTCTGTCATCAGCCCCAGCAGGACTCACAGGTACAGCTTTTTGAGTGATAAGCAGTCGTAACTCATGGAGAAATGCTGCAACTCAGCCTCACAGGCAGCAAGACTCTATGTCCAATTTCCTGGGCAGCAACACCTCAGTGAATCCTTTTGAAAAAAACTGGGTGCAAGTTTCAGTTTTATGATTTATTCTGACCTAATCAAAATATGACTAAAAGCCTTGAAGTTGTCCTCCCGTTCCTTCCATTCTTGTCTTCATGCTTGCCAGAGTCTTTTTTTTAATTCCTATTTTTTCCACCAATATAATGTTCAAACTGCACATATCACCTGCCCCCCCTTCTCTATACTTACTATTATTCTATGTTTATTCATCAGAAATAGCAGCAACAAACCATAACCCAAATAGTTAAGATGAAGGAAGGTTTTGGAGTGAAATCTATGTAGTTCATTCTCACATTCTCCATGTGAGATTATTCATTCCTGAAATAAAGACACTAATATTTCTAATGGCTTGTAGTACTGCTGGGAAGCTTCATATGTGTAAGATGCTTTAAATCTCTGGATGAAAAGTGCTTTGTTATTAATACTGTTACAGGCATCTATGTTGCTATTATCTGCAAGTGTTTAAAGGCTGTAGAAGGTAAAGAATTGATCGGGGAAGAAGTGTTAGCAGGGGAGACAACAAAATTAGGATCTGTAGGAGATCAGGAAATTATTTCCAGCTTGACGAGCAAGAACACTTTCCAGTAAGAGCAAGAGGTTCTAGGAAGCCTCTCCAGCAGCAGCCAGGGAAGCTCAACGGCTTGAGTCACTCAAATGAAGAACAGATTAGGCACTCGGGCACACAGCGAAGGAAGGAAATGATCCTGCACCAGAAGATGACTTAACACGCATTTAACCTCTGGTTGCCATTGTTTTGCAAGTATTTGAGATGCTTTTCATTAAATAAATACATATGCCTTAAAATATACTCCCTTAGGATTACATGTGGTTTTGAGAATACTACTTATTACGGATATCGTGTTTTCTAAGAGGATTAAAAAAAAACCCCTATACCCTGGAAGTCTTTCTTTTGTCTCTTTAATATTATTAGGGATTTTTTTTTCTAAAAACGCTGTCTAAGGAATACTCAGAAGAAATGTAAGGAATCTTTGTTATTCAGCATTATATTTATTTCAATAGCTTCCAGATTTAGTCATTTCTACACTAGCTGAGTAACATTTTGTTTGTACAAGATCAAAAAAATCCTTTAGCTGTAATCAAATCACTGCATCATATCCTTCCAACAACTACCACACATATCTCTTCAACCAAAATTTCAAAACTATAATCATTATTTCTGGGGAATATAAGCAGAAATCAAGCTGCTTGCCTCAGTCGGGGATCACAAGCGTAGCACAAGCCTAGCACCATCATAAAATGCTGCTGCAATTTTAACAGAGCATTGAAACTGCTGGAGTTTGCTGACGTTCTGCCAGCTGCCAGCACTACCACTTGATGTCACTGGCTTTCAGTCACTGACAAAAGCAACTGATAACGTGGACAGATTTTAGTCACATCTGTCATTAGCACCATGCTCTCAGATGAACTGTTCCCTACAGCAGGGTTTAAGTAATTGCATTACATCATTGCTAAACAGCTTATCTACAATTGGCTTTGAGTTGCGTGAACTCAATTTACACGTGCCCATACCATTCCCTGGCCACCTGAATGCAAGATTTATTACCAGCAAGCTGTTTACAGCTATATCTATGGACGAGAGCAATAATTCAAAAGCTTCCCACCCACCCCTGTCGTTAATGTCATTCAATTCAATTACTGTCTGATTCCAGCATGAAGGGGCAAACTGCCATTCCCCCTTTCCTTTTTAAGAACCTGTCAGATTACCTACGCTCACAGCAGGTCTAACAGAGAGAGTTAGGGCAGCAGCTTGCCCCAGGTAAGATCTCTTTGCATTGCCAACGCTGGCAGAGCTGAGCCAGTATCTGTATCAGCAGAGAGTTTTCTGGACATTTTGTCTGAAGAGACAAGAGGTGTTGCAATAAAGACGCTATGTGGGGAAGGAACAGAGAGAACACCATGGCAGAAAAAAGACTGAGCTTTGCTGCTCTAATGCCTATGACACAAATGCACTTTCTCCCTGCAACATATTTGCCCCAGCTCCTGTATAACAGCTTGGTTTGCTTCAGTCTCCCCCCTGGTGAGGTAACTGCTCCTACTGTCAGACATTTAGCTAACCAGAACTCCCTACTCTCCTACAGACATATGCTTCTCACGCTTTTAACAGGGAAATCCTTGAGAGAGACTCCCAGGGTCCAGATCAAAGCAGCAAATTCAGTCTCAATTTGCCTGATGGCTACTTAGGGGCTGTGAGTGAAAAAGAGTTTGCACAGATGTTGCTCTGCAGCTGGCAGATTTGTGGGTGAGCTGTTAGGTACATTGCACGGCTCCCATCAATCCTAGCTGGGGCTTCTGAGGATTCCCACAGTAGCTACTGAATAAGAGTAACACTGTAAGAACAAACCAACGCTTTACAGTGACAGATGCATTTACCAGAGTTCAAGTTTCTTACATATACTGACAAAAGGAGAAACACTGTGCTCCTCAGGAGAATGTCCGTTCACATGAGACTGCTGTCAGGCAGCACAAGGACCCAGTCACTCCTGCTCAGATGGCAAGGACAGCCACACCGTGCCCAGCTGGAAATCCATCTGGGCAAGTATCCTTTGCAGCAGCTGCTTAGAGTACAGTATGGAAAAGGGCAAGTGTTCAGTGAGACTTCCCCCAGCTGCTCTCAGCTAACTGTGGTTCAGGGACTTTCTGCACCAGAGCTGACATCTTTGCATTTAAGAAAATGGATGTGGTCTTAAAGGGCAAGAAGGGCAATCCTCTTTTTAAGACTCTTTTCATAGTCTGAAGAGTATGAAGCTGTTGAGCAGCTGAAAGACTGGTAACTGAGGTTTTGATTTATGAACCAAACTCTGTTATAATACAGACAGCAGTTTACAAATAGGGGGGTGCTGTTTGTCCAGATGTCTTTTAAATTACATGCTGCCATGCAAATAACCTGAATTTTCAAAAACTCTCACAGCCATAACCAATTCAAACAAAAAAGCAAGGCATTAGAAACCTTCAGAGTTAGTCATGAAAAGCAAATATTGAAGGTCGCAGGCAGCATTAGCAAAATGAGAATGTGCTTCATACAGCTATTTATAATAGAGAAAGTAATTTGCAAAGAATTTGGATAAACAATGTTAGATTTTCGTGTGGAATTGTGGTGGAGGAAACTGAACAGCAAGATCTAAAATTAGTCGTAATTCTCTTGTTGTCTTTTGTTTAATGAATTACCTGTAGCAATTTCCCACTTATAAATGAGAAATGTCACTGACATAGTCTCCGAATTCCACACTTTCTCTTGTATCCTAGGAGAGCAATTCTTTTAACTGTATTTAAAGAAAAGTGGGGAAAACCAAAATAAAGACACAGGATAGTAAAAAAACCAAAATACAACAAACACGCAGAGCAGAGCCTAGACCCATTTTCTCCAGCACACATTTGCTGGTAGATATTCTGTATGATCAAAAATGAAAAACGTAATTCTAGTCTTTATTGTTAATACCTGAGCTGACTGCATCTTCTTATTCTTCAAAAGATCCTTGGCAGAGATAACTCCCAGTCTATCTCTTTGGGAATTACAGAATGAAAGTCTTATTGCATTTATAGATGTAAAGCACCAGAAAAAAATATTTACAAATCTCCGGTGGATTTCTACCCAAAATTATCTAACTTTTTTTTCTATTGCTGAAGACAGGGCTTCTTTACATCTGAAAGTTAAGCAAAACCCTTAGCCAAGATATCAACATAGGAACAGTAGCTGACGGAGAAAGCGAAAGCTGCCTATTTTCTCCCAAGATGGGAACAGCTACTCTGCAAATAAATGGTGCTCCACAAGAAAAGAATTCTACTGATCCCACAAGCTGCTCCACAGACAGAAATCTGAGTCATCATTCACATGTTTTATGCAGGGAAGGTAGAGGTAGGCACAGCTGATACCTTTGAAAGAATACAACAGCTGCGTAAGCTACCAGGGTATCTTCTTCGGTGATCAGTGTTGCTTACTAAAGGGTGCCCATCTTTTAGGCAGTGTTTAAAAAGGCAGGAAGAAAAAGAAAAAAGTAGCCCACCTCATAAAGCGCCAAACTACTGAGATCTGCATTGCCTTCAAAAAGTGTGTCAAACATTTGTTTTTATCCTGTAACCTCCAGCAGAAAGACCTACTAAGAATTCTTGTTAGCGAGTGTAAAATCATACTGGCTCATCTAAATTTTCCAAAGACAGTAGGACAGATGAACACAGTTTGCTGTTAACGTTCTTACTCCACTAGAAATCTTTACTAGATTTTTCCTCCTTTCTCTTCCAATCCATGTACTCAATGTCAAGGCATATTTCTGTCTCCTCAAAAAGCCTGCTAGACAACCTGAATCAAATATCTCTTTGCTTCAGAAACAGCAAAGTGGAATAAAGAAAATCAAGTTAATGATTTGCTTTCTTCACTGAATGGGAAGGACGTTCTTCTTCAAGGGACAAGAAGACTGGGCAGAGACTGAGAATTCAGAGAAGAAATTTGAGGGATTTATCAGCTGCGTACAAGCCAGTGGGAGAAAAATGACCTTGATGTATAGGCTGAGGCCACAGAGACGGGTAGACTGACGATGGAAAAGCTAACAGGATGATTCTCTGAAAATAAAAAAAAAGTCAGAGGATGATTTCTGGAGCCTCTCTTGGTGGGAATGCTGATAAAAGCTTATAGAACTGTGGAAAGCTGAATCATCTCATAAGCCTTAATCAAAACAGTCTTTCAAGAAGCTTCCTGCAGGAAGGCAGCATATACAGGATACCCTGCCAGCAGAGTGTAGTGCTCTACTCTCTTGATGGAAAAAACTGTTAAGACCTTATGCTGTAGCAGCTCCAGGTGTTTATAAGCTGAACCATGGCTAGCAGAAGCTGAAGGCGCTGGCCACGGAAACAGGAGAGGAGCAAGAGTGGGAGGAAGTCACTGAGTTTTGCAAGTTGAAACGTTTAGAAATAGATTAAATGTAGAGAAAACTACAGAGATCTCATAAAAAATGATGGGAACAAGATCGGGTCTTGGATCTGACTTCTCATCTGATATACAAATTAGACGGCCCTCTTCCTTGACAGTAAGCAGACTTCCTGCCAAGTCAGAAATCTGAACCAGCAGATGTGGTTTATCTGAGAATCTTCCTCCTCTGCTGTAACTGGACAACTTTATTATCAAAAAGTGAAGGAATTAGCCATGCCTGTCCTTTCTTCCACAGCCCAGCCATACACAATTAACGCTTTCAAAATGCATAGTAGCCTCTCCATTTCTTATTTCCATTAGCAGCTGCAAATTAATTAAAACCGTGGCCCACTTCATCCTCTTATGTGACCTAGGAGCCTTCTTCAAACAGACTGCATCAAACGATTAGCTTTGTTTTATCACAACATTCAGAAGGGCACATTTGGGAACTCACATTTAAGACAGGGGTTTTGAGGCTGTTTTGATTTGGGTTTTATTTTTGCTAGAAGAGCAGCTTATGTATATATTAGCCAAACATAAAGTAAAAGGAAAATCTGGACTAACATATGTTAAATTTATAAGCACAGCAGAACAAAGGGACATATATTCGGAGTTCTCTGAGAATATTAGTTTTCTCAAACTACATTAAAAAAACCTATAAAATGGGTGATTTCCATCAGTCTTACAAAGATTACTTGATTTTCTGAGATCTTGGAAGAGTGTGCCTATGGCACTGCAAAGCAGTAAATTATTTGGTGAAAAGCATAAGTACCTACATTTTCTGTAAAATAGTTGAGGGAACTGTGAGCAATACAAGTAGCTCCCAGTTTACCAGCCCAAATGAAAGCTTTTCCAGAACTTCATTATCAAATTAGTGAATTGGAAAAGCAGATGCATCCTCTCTCACTTCAGCTACTGTTAGTATTTACTAGCTGTATTTTCACAGAGTTTTGCACAGCAGCACAGCGTGCCAGGATAACTAACTTCCCCAGTCCTATGAACTGCACACCAAAACCTTCTCATGGACAAGCCACAAAAACTTGAGAAAGCCCAGACAGAGCAACTCTAGGTGCAGCTCACAGGCAGGACAGCGTCATGGTTCTGTCCTTACTGCTGTGCTCACTGTCCCTGACATGCTGCACGCACAGCTGCCAACCACCTCCAACGCACACTGGCAATGTCAGTCTCTGCTGGCTCCTACGTACGGATTTGAAGCCTCTGAAAGAGCAGAGCCTTGATGTCACTCATGTAGCTGACAGTGGCAACAGGAGTCCGTGACGTCCTTGAAGTCCTGCACTGGCCAAATGCAAAGCTGGGAATAGTACTCAAGCCCTGCAAGCCCAAATCCTATTAGAGCACAAGGTCTCTCTTCACTTGTAGAAGGGGTCACTTTAGCCATGGTGAGTGTAGTTACAGAGGCTGGCTTCTTTCCCCAAAATGGGCCAGAACACAGTCATATTTTCTTTTGTTAAATGGTAGTGATCTGACACATAGTTTCCCCTCAGGTTTAATTTTTAAAATTGGTATGCGAAGGTTCAGGTGGCTTTTTTTAATCCACTTCATCAAATTTCTCCACTCCCTATTTTTGATAATACCATCTATAAATTTTATATTAATGGAATATTACATACAACGCCAAAAATATTGTGGTAACACACATCATCTCCCTCTAACTATCTACCCTTTTTGTTTACTTTTAATCTAACAAAAACTATACATAATCAGGTTACAGATACAAATTTCTGTTATTTGCAACACCTATTGCCAATCTACAATTCCCAAAGTCACAAATACAAGGTTCTTAGAGCAACTTACCATTCAATAGCCACCAAAGCAAAGGAATAAAACCTGGACTTTCACTGATGTACTTCAAGCCTTTCAAGTTGATACTCACATTGTAAAGTGACATTAGCATTAGCCTAGAATTGAAAGAAAAAAGATGTGATGTCCTTTGATTTCTTTGCATGCTTTGCCAGCTTTTGCTATTTATGCCAAGCATGTACTGACGCAGAACTCTATTCTAATAATTTGTATTTTGATAAAAGAGAGAAGTCTCAAATTATATATAAGCAATGTTGTGCAAAACCTTGTTACTACTGTTAAATCACATATTTCAAACACATGGAATCACAGAATCACAGAATGGTCAGGGTTGGAAGGGACCTCAGGAGATCATCTAGTCCAACCCCCCTGCCAAAGCAGGTTCCCTACAGCAGGTTGCACAGGAAGGTGTCCAAGCGGGTTTTGAACATCTCCAGAGATGGAGACTCCACAACCTCTCTGGGCAGCCTGTGCCAGTGCTCTGTCACCCTCACTGTAAAGAAGCTTTTCCAAAAATATGCCATGTGAAAGTAAGAGTGTCTCATCAAACTATGAAACATGCAAAACCAGGACTTGGCTTTACCTAACTGTACAACCCGTCCAATAGAGCTTTTGTAGTGACCATCCCCACTGGGCAGATGATCATCTCAAACAAGCTGTTCGCCCTGACAAATAAAAGGGTCACTAGGAAACACAGAAAGCAAGGCTGCATACTGAGTACTAGAAACCACGTCAAAGTCTCTGCTCCGTTGGTTTTGCAACACTGGCCTTTCTGCACACTGACCCTCCAGTCTGCTGAAACACAGACACATGGCTGATGCCATCCTCTTTCAAGCATCCTCCTGTTCCTCCTGCCAGTGGGAACAGATGCAATACATGGCCAGCGTACAGCAAACACCAACGTAGTCTCTCTCTGCTGGCAGAGGAAGTTACTACACCTACAGAAGCATTTGGAAAAAGGGTAGGGGCCTGAAGGAGGGAAAAGGAAGGTATTAGTAGTCCCAGCTCAGTTTAGCACAGTCCCTCCTAAGCCAGACTCATCCCTTCTGCTATGGGTGCAAGGCAGAGAACTGGCTCGCTCTGCCTGCTCTCCAGCCCCTCGCAGTCAAGCAGGCCCGTACACTCTGGGCCATCGAGTAAGACCCTGCTGTGAAGAAAACGACTGCTTGTCTCTTAAAATGTCAGCATGGACTTTCCTACTTATTCTGCCTTCAGGAATCCAGATTGATTATGTTCAATGTACAAGTGGATTTTTATTTTTTTTTAACTTAATAACACTGGAATTCAGTTTGGCTGTAAACTGTGCTCTTGTCTTCGCATAGATCAACAGCAGGATAATGCAGGCCAAATGGTGCTCTCACCCACACCTCTTCAAAACTATCTCCAAATACCCTTGGGCCCACTCAGAGATTCCCCCCACCCCAAGGTGATTTATTTTGGTCTATTATTATGGTCACTGATGTTGAAGGAGGACAGAACTCATAACCTGTCTTCCAGGTAACAGAGAAGATCTATGCCCTGGCAGCTAGAAAACGCTTCCTTAACTGAGCATTGAAAAAAAACCTAAGATGACATCTCTGACAAACCAAAACCAAGACTGCCCCTTACATGTCAGTGCATAAAAGATAAAATAAAAATACACATAGTAAGCAGATGTTCATTTCAGCCACATTTTCAAAAGCTTCCAAACTCAGGACTTCTTAATTTATCAGCCTCCTAAAATAGGAAGTTCATTAGCCATTTTGGGGCTGTGTACATCACAGGTTATAAATGAAACCGAAGTCTCAACTTTTCTACAGAGAGAAAACCAGGTAGGCTGGAGAAGGCTCTGCATTTTAAAAGGACTGCTCTAGCCTGCCAATCCCACCGGCTTCGCACACTGGAGTTATTGCAAACATGAAAAGCTTCCAGTAACCTGCAAAACCTGAAAGCCATCAGGGAAAGGGGATTTTGCTACTGGTGCCCCCTCAGCCTTAGGCACGACAGAGCTGAGGTCATGCTGTAAGGTACAGAAAGCTGCATGCAGAAATGGCAGCTCTGCCTCTTTATGCAGATAAACTACATGGGTTAAAATTTACTTTTAGCTGCTTCTGACTGCCAGACAAGAATGGTAACTTACGGCTCAAAATCAGTTGCCCTTTTCAAAGCTACCCAGAACAACCACTAATATTCAATGCAGAGGATTTTGCTGGGATAAAACCTTCTCCTGCAGTTTCTGCTGAACTAAGTTCTCCTTTCAAACATTTGGTGTTGATATTGTTACGTCGTCTTCCAAATTTCTTATACAAGTTTTTATGGGTTTGGTGGCTAACTCTTTTTCAGCTAAGCAAAGTCTCAGTGGGTTTAATGCAAATTATTTCGATTTCCCTCTAATTTCCAATAGGAATGTGACCTGATATTCAAAAGCAGAAAGCACCCAGAAAGAAACCCCACTGACGTTAATAAGACAAACTAATGCTCTCCCTCTTTCAAAAAAATAAATCAGATCACTGCTGTACTATGAACTTTGAGCCAAGAAGCCCCTGATGTGCCTGAAAAAAGAGCTGTACTCTGGAGTCAAAAGTTGTCTTACAAATTCTTTTGCCCTTCTAGTGATGTTCTCCTGTTCTGCCTTTTATGCAGATCATCTTTACAGCTGTGGAGCAGCGGAGGGGAGAGGGCATTTAGTGCACTTTATGATGTGCTATGATGGATGCTATTGCTTTTTATTTTATTTCTTTTCAAAGATGATAACACACAATTTTCTGGACAATGAAAAGGAAAGATGAATGAGCAGGGCTCCTGTAACATTTATGGAACACGTCATCATACCCACTCCCAGCAGCATACTGGGCTGCATACAAAACAATTACAAAGAAACAGGAATGGGCTGGAATGTTCTGTCCCCTCTGTTCTGGGTCCAGCTTGACAGCTGCTATCTCACATGACTGTGATAAACCTGCGTGTCACTGCACTGCCACCATTTCCAAACAAGAGGGAAATAACGTTATTCAAATGGACTTCACACCTCACATCCTATTCTCAAACAAGTTATCATGGTTTAAGTTACTAAGCCACCAGCAGATTTTTAGACAGTCTCCGTGCAGACCTTCAGAAAGCAGAAACGGAAAGCAACACAACCTGCAACGGAAGAAGCAGAACTTGTATTATGTGCTGCATCATTGGGAGTTTGATCACCTTGGCTCTTAAGCAGTTGTAAACAGCTAACAATAAGCAGTGAGGGGTGCTGTGGAACTGAATGTGCAGCTTTTAAAGCCCATACACTCTTTTTCATACAGCTTCTGCAGCTCTTACTTGGGCTCCAGAATCTAAACCCTGACAAAGGAGCACAGCCAAAACTACCTATAATCAGCCACAATGAAAGTGATCTGTAAAACAGTATCTTATAATGGAAAACCTTAACATTTCTTGACAATGTCGTTTATCCTTAATCTGTTTGACATTTGCAGTTCGAAATAAAGTGACGTAAAAAGATACTGCTATGTTTGCATTTTTCTTTCACTTGTTTGCTTTGTGCAGACAAAAGGAACTGGTGGTGGTGATCCAGGGAAGTTCTGTGGTTTTAGATTGTCAGAAGAAGACATGATCCACCCCACAAACCAGTGTAGTAGCATATTATTATTAATTAAACACATTCACCTGAGCACAACAAGCATTTCCAGGCCCTTTATACCACCTTCACCTCTAGTACTTGCCCATTTTAATAAGTATTTTCTGCAATAATTATTGCAAAAGTGCTTATTGAAGCAAACCCGACACACACAATTACTGGATAAACAATATTTTCTGGTTTATTTTTAATGTGGAGGGCTTTTTAATTATGCACTTCATAGTATTCCTATTTAGGCAAGCCAAATTTAATTAACATCTTGTATTACTGTATCAGTCAGTGCTTCCTTTAAAATCTAGAACTAAAAGCACAGTTAAAGCCCCTTCTCATCTGCTTAATACATGGGATTAGTACACAAAATGTACGAAGATGTACTAAAGTATGCATTTTTACTGGCTACTTTCAACTGCTTCATAAGCAAAGCTGAATATTCCGAACAATTTAATTATAGCTATGAGCAATTGTGTAAATGTTTATTGACTGCCTAACAATTACAAATGTTGAATAAACCCTGAACCAATTGAGAAGAAAACCTAAAGTCTTTCACAACACTGCTATTTCAGAAAGGCAGACACACCCAGGAGATTCAGTACCAGCACTCATGTAGATGCCTTGGATATATTTATTACCTGTTCATGGACTACAATGGATATTGTAGCAGTGCTGGAATAAATGACAGCTTTTCCCTGTAAAATTTTTATTTATATACTGGTAGAAGTAAAACACATGATTGCCAGAACTAAAAGAGGAAAGAGAACTCCTCTCTTCATCAGCTTTGTTTGATATTGCTGTGCATAGATTAAAACTCAGTTTCCCTTGATTTGTCACACAGTAAAGAAAAATATTTTTGAAAATAAAAGCTAGAAAAGAATTGTAAAATCTCAAAATTGAGCAAAGGACAAACATATCCTTGAAAATAATAAGCTGAATTTTTTCTTTAACTGATGAAATTTTAAGTTGACGATGCCTTTCCATGCAACACCACGGTGATGTTCTGAGAAAAACACACTGCATTTCCAAAATAATGTAGAGACATTTTAATCCATGAAGTATAGTTTTAAAAATGTGTCTGTATGCATGTATATAAGTATGTGTGTGTAAGCATTACTTATGATGACTCCAGAGGCCATCTATACATAACTTTGAAATTTCACTACAATTTCTGTTAACATATCCAATTGTCTTTCATTTTATACTGCCGTACGTTCCTTATGGTAGGGAGAAAAGGGAGTTCTTCTGATACATCCGCTTATGAAAATGTTCATTACTTAAGATTAACAAACAGCTAAAAAACCTTATGTGCAATGAACAGTTTAAAAACAAACCAATCAACCAACTCCCAAAACCATTCTGTGCTGGGCTGGGAGAGTGGAAAATCCCCAGAAAGGACAGGAAAGAGATCGTGTGTTAGTAATGACTTTTAAGAACTGAACAGTGACAAGACACATGAGGATCTCGTAGACAAAAAGGAAACCTGACCACAGACATGAAAGACAAACACAAGGAAAACATTTTGCACTAAAACATTCGAGCAAATTAGGATCCCTCTTTCCACAACAAGGCCGTGAAGAAATCTCCTTTCTGGCATTTGCTCTAATGTCACAATACAGCCATTTTTTTAATCAAATGGCAAGCTTAAAGTAGGAAAAAAAAAAAAAGTTAGTTCTGTGGAACATCTCAGAAAACATTATCACTGTGCAGAATTCAAGCTATTGTAAAGTATGCTTAATGTTTCTCACTTATCAAATACCTGTGCAACCTCTTCTTTTAAGCTTCACTCAATTTGTTAGCCTAAGAGGCTGGCCCATGTTGAATCCCTAGTCACGTCATGGGATTATTTTATGTATATTTTATCATTATTGCTGTATGGCAGCCAAGTTTGTATCACCATGTGTAATAGATTTTGAAATATAATTAAAAAAAACACCCAAAATATCAATTCAAAAGGAAGGCCCTCAAATCCAATTACATTAACACAATCTGAAATGATAAAAAATAATTTATCTAGACCCATAGACACATATTCATTTGAAATTAAAGAGTGTGTGTTTGTGTGTGTGTATGTGTTTAGGAACTCCTTCCTCCTCTCAAAATGAAGTCCTCTCTTGTTTGTTTTTTTTTTTCTGTACAGATTTTGAAACAGCATAGGTCCTCATTTCATGGGGGTTTTTTATTATATACATGAAGGCACAAATTACCTTTTCTTTCTTAAGCTGAGGTTCTGATACAAATCTTTTAGTCGGGGCTTTACAAAAATACCCCACTGTTGCAAAAGTGAACTACCCTGTTCTGAGTACTGACCTTCAAGCCCAACGCTTGGGAAACACTGCCAGCAAATGACTGGCATCCAAGTATGTAACCACTGCCTACAGCACAGGCTCTTCAGCTGCCCCCTCACTCCCCAATGCAGAAAGGCAAGCACCTTCAGTGGGCAGCTTCTTCCCCCCTAACATAGGCTGAGGGAGTGATCATCTGACAGCACCATCTCCTTCCACTGACTGTGGGAAGAAGCCCAGACAGTTAGCAGACACTTGACATCAAGCGTTCTGATAGCTAAGGTGGGGCAAGATAAAACCAATTCCAAGTTAAGACTGAGCCTGATTTCATGCCTATCACGTACAACCTGCCTAAATGTGTGTACAGACACAGTCACGTTACTGTGGCTGACAGGGCTGCTGTTTGTTAGCTGAGCTGTGACAGCTGGCTTAGGTCTGAATTCTGAGTGTCTGTGTCCCCCAGTCCCAGTCTATGAAATAAAGCCACGTGGCTTAAGCCATCTTGGTGAACAAATTAACCAGGTGAACGAGGCAAGTGCCCACAGCTTAGCAAATGAGCAAGTACTGGTTAAACCATGGTAATTTGCTCACTCAAGGCCATATATCCTCAGTATGTAACAGTTCTGAGAAAAAGGCAAAGGCAATACTTATTATGTGTCTTCCATCAGCTGGAAATTACAACTTTTCCAGCATCTGAATTGTGTAACGTGGCCTTTTCTTTACAATGCTGTATCACAAGGTCCCTTTATAGGCAGTACCTCTTACAAACATAAGTGCGTGGTGCTTCTGGCCACTAAGTAGCATACACTAATTTAATTTTTGCTTTTAGCAGCTACGTAACTCATTTTTTACACTAAGCAGATGTATTTTACAGACAGTCTTCATATTGCAAGACAATAAATATGAGTCCACATTTCCCACATTCTCTCTGTTTTAAAACGTGACCTCATACCTTCCTCAATCTGACCCTCAACTCATGAGCCCCTCCTAAGGTAGAGTGCATCCATGCTCATCTCTACAATATTATAGTACTTACAAGACTTCTGAAGAAGCACAAAACCTGGATGAAGCTAGACAAGCTTGGTATATCTGCAAGGAATGCTACTGTGAAAAGAGTTTCCAAAAAGTTTCCCTTCCAGGAAAGGAAATAATGGAAGAGTGGGAAAACTGCTGTCATCACTGTGACCTACACTGCAAGATATAATACATTTCACTTGAAAGGAAGAAAAAAAGTCATCATACACTTTAAATTTGGTACAGAGTCCTGGCTTCATGTCTCCCAAGAGGTGCATCATTGTGCCCAGTAATTCACGACTTGAGCTAACCAAGAACTCACGGCCACATGCCAGCGCAGCCACATCTGTGAGAGAACACAAAATATCACCATAAAAATCATGTTTCAAACAAAAGTTTCTGCTAATTATCAGGACCATTAAAAGGATAAATCAGCTGTGAAGAATGACCTATAGTATCTACATATACTCCAAATTATATTCACCTACATAGCAAATACTGAAGCAGCAAATGATACTGGTCAAACTCCTTCATAATTCTACTTTGGTAATTAAAATAGATGGTCAGGGTGGCCAGTATCCTAACAGCAATACAGTGAATTATGAAACAGAAGGTCAGATTAATCTGCAAATACTGTGGGACTGAAGCAAAGCTGACCATTACAGTTCCCACTTTAAAGAAATGAGATTGCAGATTGTTTTATAATCGCTCTATCCAATATACCTGGCACATTACACAACCGAAACTCTTGTGGATGCCTACTCAAAAGCTCTTCTCCTACCTCTCTGCAAGTGCTGCATTATTCATGCACAAACCAAAAGGCAAAAACATTTCCAAAGACTACTGCTCCAAAGCAGAATTTCCTTTAATATTTTCCCTTACGCATGCCCCATACTTTAGGGAGCACTTATGTGCAAGAGGGATCTTCCAGCAGCCTGAGTTTCTTTGTACTGTGCAACTGGCCAAGCCTCCAAACGACTGCAGTGTGTTGTATGTAACTAGCGCCAGAACCTGGCTCCCTGGCCTCCCATTCAGGGCAATTTTGGGGATCTGCTGCATGACACAGTTCTTCCACTTCACGCGGCCCCAATTTCTCTCCCCTGTGCGTGTACATCATGATGCCTTTTTTAATCTCAGCATAAGCAGAAGTACCAGGGACACGGCACATAATTAAAGACTGTAACAGCAATGTCTGTGCACGCTGGGCTGTGTTAAGACTGCACTAAGAACTTCTGTTCTTGTGCTTTTCTAACTTCTGCATACTTGTCACTTCACAACTTCCTCTGTGTCCTTTTAATATAGCTTTCTAGTGTAATCCTACTTTACAGTGTAACTAGGAGGATTAAACTGGAACCTTCTGCATCATTCATCTGACTATAACCTTCATCACTTTTAAGTTTCAGCAACCCCCTTTCCCAGATTACAGAGACAAAGACAGAAATCTTGAGAATATCAAATTCACTAGCAAAATGTGTATCAGCTTCAGTGAAGCAAGATTTCGTTGCACCATCCTGAGTCTTCCTCAGGAACTCCAACACCGCCTACCCCCTAAGCCTTTCAACAGCATTTTATTTGCTCAAACTTTGGTTTTGCTATGCTTTTTGGTGGGGTTTGGTTTGGTTTGGTTTGGGGTTTTTTTTTTCAGTTAAACAATTGGAGAGAACTGAATCCTGCCTTGGTACAGTGGCACAATGCATCACATACAGGTTTTTATGACAAAATCTTTAATGGCACCACAAAGACTAAAATCACACATTCAAAAAAGCTGTTAATGCAAGATTCAGTTATTTGCATGAATACTCACTATTTCACCTATCTTGTATCATGTCATTAACTAGTGTCATTTTGACAGTTGCACAGTTTCACAAAAATGCAGATGACATCTCAACCCTATTTCTCATAGCCTTCCAAAACAAAGGCAGCCATACTAAGATAGATCTGTGGCTTCCTACTTATTTTTCTAACCCTAAAAAGAAATGTTTAGTATGGAAGTCTGGTTTATTACCTTTTACTTCTCTTAGCACTATGGACTCAGGACAGCAAAGGTGGGGTCCATCTGGCAGCAACAAAATTCTTAAGTACTTTCAAAATGCTGAGCACATACCTTAAGATGGGGCTGATCTACTTGCATCATCTGCAATCCATACATCTTGAGGATGTTGGCATTATTGGTGATTCAGAAAGGAAATTGCTTGACATTTACAAACCAAGGTGAGCACAAATTACTAGGAAAATAGCCCTTGTTTTACATCAGCTTGAGAGGAAGTGTTAGGAAATTTCAGAACTGAATGGCTCCTATCTGTCTAATCCTTAACTGTGTCACAGGCAGTACCATCCCCCACAGAAGCATCAAGGACAGAATCTGCTACATAGAAGACTAGGAAGTGACCCATGGCATCAATGTTGACTAAATACCCGACTTTGAGAAGCTGCCATTTACAGCAGCACATATAAGGCAATATAGAAATTCCCAGTGCCCGTGGAATGCTACTCTGAGAGATAACATTAACTTACTTGTTACAATCCCTGCCAAAGCTAATACAAACTGATTTTCATCAGAATCCAAATCCTGCTGTTTCATGTCTTCACTTAATGACTTCACAAAGCTCTCCATGGTCTGTGCAGTGATTGTAAAAAACTTTGCTGCTTTACTCTGCAAGCATGGAGAAGAAAAAAGATTATACACACCACACCAACCACAATTATTAGATCCTATAGTAAAACTGGACAATCTGCAAAATTACTAAAACATCCAGTCACTTCAAAAAACCAACAAAGAATAGCAGGTATGCACTAAGTGACATGTTTGATCCCCTAATATTTGAAACCATTACCTCAGAACATGTCAAACTACTCAATGCTACATTTATTTGTAAAACTATACCACTGTGCATTTACCTCCTAAACCCATAATAATACGTATTAAATAGCAGAATTAATGCTTATTTTCAAAACTGAGGATATTGTCTATTTGCTTTGTAATTGCTGCACCAGGTGTTTCACATTTACCTGGGCTACTACAGTTGCTTTTGTAAAAACCCTGTCTGGCTGGAAACCAGAGAGGAGCCTGATGTAGTGACTTGATATGAATTTCCTAAAAAAAAAACGATAAAATAGCCAGAAAAAAAGCAGAATTCGATTGGATCCTAGCAGGATTCAGGAACTGCTCCTCAACACAGGAGCAGACAGGATTGCTCTTCAATTGCAGACAATTGCTCCTCAATTCAGGAGTTCAACTGACAGAACTGGAGCACAACTGGAAAATATACAATGGAGAACAACTGGCTAGGTGGAAGTTATTCAGAAAATGGAGGTCTCTCCCCAGGCCACAGGTTGAATTTAAGTCTACAAGGTCACTTGAGAAAGACTGTCATCACACCAGAGCATACAAACAGGGGTACAGTCTGTAATTATGTTACACAGTCTTCTCCCCTCAGCTGGAATACTGCTCCATTTGGGGTACCTTGGTTGAAGAACCAGCCACCTGGTACAAACCTCAGAGAGAACTATTTCTGTTTATTAATAACTCTGACCTGTAACACATTGATGTAACGTTATTTCCCACAAAGGGTTCTGGTTTTCTTAACAAAAATAGCATAGCAGAGAGCCCGTAATACCAGGTTTCCCAGTGGCTTTAATAATTTTGCCAGTTGTTTCATGAAAGAGCTGAAACTTTCAGTCATTCCTGTCAGCGACCCAATGGGACAGCCCAAGAAATGCCTGAACTTTTATTCATTTTGCAAAGTGACGGAAAATTTTAATAATTTGTCAAAACTACTGCCTTCACAATATGTGCAAAGCTATTGGTAACATTTATTTATTCCTCCACTGCTGCACATTCACCACATCAAAGATGTACAGCTCCTACAGGGTGACTCCAGCAATGGGACATAAAAAGTAGGGTCAGCCAATACTCAGTATCTTCACAAATGATACTGTGGTCCCAGAATAACAGGAATGAATGGACAGCAGGATGGGAAAAAGTGCATTTCTGCATGTGCTGCATGTACTTTATATACTTCTACAGACATCACACCTCAAAGATGACAATTTTAACATAAGCAGTCACTATAGTTTAAGAAGCAGAGGATGTGAGAGAAAATGAAGAAAGCCTGCTAGAGTAGACTAGTATTAGCTATTATGAAAATATGTATTCACATGGAATAGAATACTGTGCAACCATGTAGTTGGTATGTTGCACAGAAAACAAGAAAAATCTTCTATCTGCCAGTCTCTTGAGGTGCCACTGGTGTTCTCTCTGC